GACACCCTAACAGGTCACACATGTGTCCATGCCCCTAATCCCTATACACCCCCCACTCTGCCCAGATGCTGGGGTCACATCTGCATATACCTCAGCCAGCCTCCCCCAACGCCATCTGCAAAGGCCATCACGGGCCACAGTTCTCCTCCTTTCCCTCCAGCGCATAAGCAGTCAGAACAGAGGCTGTGACCCCACTTGCCCACCCCAAGATCTAGGACTGAGGACTGAGGGAGGGTCTGCCAAGAAGCTTCCCTCCCCCTCCTAATACAGGGCCCTCCTGGTTCCCTCTCCCCTCCCCCCCCAGCCACTCACATAGATCGTTGAGACTCAATGCCTCACCAACTGCCAGGCCCCATCACAAAAGGCTGAAACTGGGGGCTGGATAGGCCCTGCCAGCTGCCAGGGGTGGGGCCAGAGGCTGGGGGAGGGGCTGGCAGGCAGGAGGCCCGCTCCCTTCTTCCCTTGCCAGGGGCTTAACCTCCCCAGCTCAAAGCTCCCAGATGACACTCTCAACATGGGCTTTTCACAACATAACACCATCCCCCAGCAGAATTTTCCAGATTCCTGGAGGGAAAGCCTAGTTCTTCAATCTCTACCTTCAGTGGAATCAGTGCGCCCCCATCTGGCATCTCCACCTCTGAACTTGATCCCCTAAACTTCATTCTTTCATGCCACATATATTTATTCAGACCCCGTGGGCCAGGCCTTGTATGTGGCACTAAGGATTCAGAGGTGAACTAAAAACTCAGTCTCTGTCCTCGGCTTTCAGTCTGGTAAGGGAGACAGCACTAATAAACTGTAATTACAATAATTATAATGCTGTGTAAAAATCCAATCGGCCCCCACTCCCTACTTCCTAGGCTAGGACAGGGAATTACCAAGGAAGGCTTTAGGGAGTGGGTGATGCTTAGAGCTGCGAGCCAATCAGGTTGCAGGAGCTCACCAGCAAAGAGCTGGAGTTAGAAAGTTCTGCAGAGAAAGCATAGCTTGCCCAAAGGCCCAGACAGGAGATGGCAGGCCATGGGCATTTAGGGCTTTGGTAAGAAGGTCAGGCTGGCCAGATCATAGGCTGCAAGAGAAAGTGACACAAAACAAGATGCGGCTGGACAGGCAGGCAGGAGCAAGAGCAAGCAACAGGGCCACGGGATAAAGACTTACCCTGAAGGCAATAAGGAGCCTTCAAAGGCTTTTAAACACTTTGAGTTAAAACATGTGCTTTAGGAAGATCCCTGGCACCTTGAGGGAAGGAGGGAAGACCTGCCTGCAGGAGAAAGATAGCTGAGAATGGACAGGAGGAGACAGAGCCAAGAGCCTCTGAGAGAGCAGGCAGGATGTTTCAGGATGCAGGAGGATGACTAGGAAGACAAAAGAGAGGAGAGGGAGGAAGGGGACACAATGCACCCCCTGCAACTCTGGACAGGGGCCATCACAAAAGGCTGAGACTAGGGACTGGGTGGGCCCTGTCAGCTACCAGGGATGGGGAAGGGCCAGCCCAGGCCTGCATGGAAAGGCCACCCCACGTGCCCAGCTTAGCTGATGAAAATCATGGAAGGATGGTGGCCTGTCTCCATCAAGCACAATGCTTGCCCTGGGTTTTTTGGGGTTTTTTGTTTTGTTTTGTTTTTTAGAGACAGAATCTCGCTCTGTTGCTCAGGCTAGAGTGCAGTGGCACAATCATGGCTCACTGCAACCTCTGCCTCCAGGGTTCAAGCGATTCTCCTGCCTCAGCCTCCCGAGTAGCTGGGATTACACACGCCCACCACCATACCTGCCTAATTTTTGTATTTTTAGTAGAGACAGGGTTTCACCATATTGGCCAGGCTGGTCTCTAACTCCTGATCTCGTAATCCACCTGCTTCAGCCTCCCAAAGTGCTGGGATTACAGGCATGAGCCACTGCACCTGGCCAATGCCCTGGGTTTTTTCTGACACCAGAGCTGGGCAGCAGGCTGTCTAGGAGCTCAGCATCCCCACCCGGGCCACTGTCACTACTTCCTGCTGACTCCCCTCCCCCAGCCCCAGGGAAAAGGGAGCGATGCCCAGACAAGCCTTTATTGCCCAACCTGAAACCACTGGGCAGCCGCTCCCTCATTCCTGCCATCCACAACTCCAGTGACCAAAAGGACAAAATGAGCAAGAACACAGCAGAATAAATAACTACCAGGTTTGCAAGGCTGAGAAGACGTCACACACCATACCACCCAGAAGCTCAGGAGGCATTCAGGGAGTTGGGCTGACTCTATCTAGACTGGGGACAATGGGCTAACACAACTATTCTACTCCGGCTTCTGAGCTCCTCTCTAAGAGTAACAAAGGGGGCCAGGAACTTTAGAAGTGATTTGCCCAAGGTCACATGGACAGCAAGTGGCAGAGGCGGAACTTGAACCTGGCTCCCCCAGCTTTATTTATTTATTTATTGAGATGGAGTCTCTCCCTGTCACCCAGGCTGGAGAACAATGGCACAATCTCGGCTCACTGCAACCTCTGTCTCCCGGGTTCAAGCAATTCTCCTGCCTCAGCCTCCTGAGTAGCTGGGATTAAGGCACGCGCCACCACGCCCAGATAGTTTTTGTATTTTTAGTAGAAAAGGGGTTTCCCCATGTTGGCCAGGCTAGTCTGGAACTCCTGACCTCATGATCCGCCCGCCTTGGTGTCCCAAAGTGCTGGGATTACAGGTGTTGAGCCCGGCCCCCAGCTTTAAATCACAGCCTCTGGGCTTTGTAACAACTCTCAAATCCATTTTTTGTTTCCTGGCACTCACAGACAGAGCCTTACTTTACAAGGTACTTGGTATCCACCAAAAGTGCCATACACCATTATTATGATGGCTATGAGGCAGAAGAGGAAACTGAGGCATCAAGAATAGGAGTAACCTGCCCTAGGCCTCACTCCCAAACTTCAGTTCCTGACAGTCCTCCTGCTGGCAGGACTTGGGGCATGTGAGTGTTCTCGAAATCAAAGTGATGGTGGTAGGTGTGGGAGTGGGGAGTACCGGGTGAGTTTGATCTCAGGGGGAGGCAAAGTTGCTGCAGGACCTGGGGAAGAAGTTGGGAGGAGGGTGAGGGAGGTCGCCTTGGGCATCCTTTCGGGCACCGGAAGGTCAAAGGTGAAGCTGTGTCCCCTGGCCCCGGAGCTGCAGGGCGAGGTTCAAGAGCTGGCCAGCAGCCGGCGCGAACGCGGGAGCCAGGGGAGTTCTGGCCTGAGACTTCAGAGCCAGCAGCAGGGCCACGAACGCGATCCCGGGGAGGTCAGTTGTCTGGTCCTGGCGACCGAGAGAGACGGCGGCTCCGCTCTGGCATGTGTCTCAGCTCAGACCCCGCCCCGGGCGTCTCCTGGATACCCGGAGCCCGCGGAGCAGCCCCGCTGGTGGCCCGGGGCGGGGGAGGTCACCGGGAGCAGGGCCCTGAAACTCCGCGGGAAGTGGCCGCGGTCTGGGATCCCAGGCCTCAGGGTGGGATGTGGGACACGAGCACACACACCCGACACACCGTCCACACTCCGACACACGCAAGGACACACAAACACAAGCTCTGTATACACACATGCAGCTGCGCGAACACACACGCGCACGCACACCAAAAGACACCAGACCCCGAAACACACCCGGAGAACGGGACCACACAGCAGGCAAGCGCGGAGCCACACGCTCACACCCACACTCACACTCACGCACACACCTGGCGGTCCGGGCCGGCCGGGTGGCCGCACAAAGTTGCGGGCTCCACCGAGGGAGTGTCCCGGGAGGCCCCGGCGTCTCCCGCGCGTCCTGCACGCCACGGGAGGGGGCGCTGTCCCTCCGCGGCGAGCCAGGCCCTGCCCGCGCCCCGACGTCGCAGCCCCGCCCGCGGAGAGCCCCCGCCCGGCCGCCCGGGGCGCAGCAGCGGCCCGACCACCGCAGGAGCGCCGGGCGGCCCGGCCCTCCCCGCCCGCCGGCCCCTCGCGGGGCCCCCGCCAGCCCCGGCGCCCCGCAGTCACGGCGCCGCCTCGGATCAGCCGCCCGCCAGCGCCGCGCGGAACTTGCGAAACAACAAACAGTCCGACATGCCCGAGGCGGCGGCCGCGGGGCCCGGTCCTCCCCCGAGCCTCGGGCGCGGCCGGACCCGGGCAGCCCAGGGGGCGCCGCCGCGACAACTTGTTCCGGCCCAGCGCGCCACACACGCGCACACGCACACGCGCGCACACACGTCCTGCCACCGCCCCCTCGGGCGGCCCCGGGCCCCGGGCCCCGGGCACAGTCGCAGCCGCGGCCCAGGCGCGCTCCACACTCGCAACATTCCTGGACGCGCAGCCAGCACACACGGACACACTGGCTCACACTCACATCCGCTCCAGACTCGCTCCCACACACGCATTCCTGGCACACTTGGCATTCACTCGGACCCACGCGGCCCCCGGCGGCACACGCCCAAACCCCAGACACTCTCCACACGTACACTGCGCACGGACACACACGTTCCGGACCCGTTCCCACGCCTTCACACATGTCCACGGATCTCACAAGCACACACGCCACACACGCGTTCCCGGATCCACACTCGGGCGGGATCCAGAGAGCTCCCCCGGCCACATGCATAACACAAACACACAACGCATTCTCAGACACATACAGCGCTCCAGCCACGGCACGCAAAATGCAACACATTAGCAGATACAACTCCCGCAACACAACCAAACTCAGATGCACACTCAACCCACTTGGCCGCATAAACACTACACACTGGCAGACCCACAAGACAGCGCACACCAATGCCTCGATGCACACAACATTCACCCCAACATACTCGCAGACACACCGCACCTTTTCTTGCGCACAGAACTCACCGACACACACATTCGCAGTCACCCAACACCCCGGGCACACAACCGCCCATCCTACGCTCGGACGCACACAGGGAGCACGCTCCTAACGCCCGGTCACCCAACATTCACACTTTCTTCCGAGCTACGCCACGGGCCCCGAGGCTCGGCGGGGCAGGCTCGGTCCGGCCGCCGCGCGCTTACCTGCCGGAGTCTCGGTCTCTGGCGCGCAGAGCTGGAAGGTGAGCGCCAGCACCAGCGCCTGGGCACGGGCCATGGTTGGAGCGCCGCCGCCCGTCCCGGGGCCCGGCGCTGGGCGCCGCCGCCCGTCCCGGGGCCCGGCGCTGGGCGCCGCCGCCGGAGCCCGAGCCGAGCCTGAGGCGAGCCGGAGCCGGAGCCGGAGCCGGAGCGGAGCGGCGCGGAGCGGGACTGGCGCCGAGTCCAGAGCGGGAGCCGGAGCAAGCGGGGCGCTGACGTCAGGCCCGGTCGCGGGTTCGGCGGTCTCGCGGCGCTCCCTGCTGGCCGCGGCAGGTGCTGCAGCGGGTCCGGCCGCCCGCTGGCCCCGGCGCGCCCCTCCCCCGCTCACCGCATCCTCCCCGCCAGGAGGCCCAGCGGCTGGGCCTGGACGCCCACGTACCTCTCCACGGACCAGGCACCAACACTGCCAGGCGAGCACGCTCATGGCCCAGGCCTAGCTCCCGTACAGCGCTCTCAGGGACGGTGACCCAGGGACACCCGGGCTCTGTCCCATCCGATGCCTGAATCCCTTCTACCTTGGCGCCTTCCAATGCGTGTTCTACATATCTCCAATAACACGGTGGTCATCACCTGTCAAGAGCGGTTGTTGGGGCTTTGGAAACGCTTGTTTTTAGAAAGTTTTTTGTTTTCAGGACGTGCAAGTCTACCTCCCTCACTAACCCTCCCTGGTCCTACTCTATCCTCTGGCTACACAGGTTAAATATATTTGGGTCTCTACCCAGAACAAGCCTTTCACTATGATCTGCAAACTCGTTGCTCATTACTATGTAAGACCAGGTATCTTCTGTGTGTTTTACCCACATGGACTTATTTAATCATCATATATTAGGTCTGCAACAATTATATTGCATAAATACTGTTATGCAACAGTATTTAACAGCACCAAGATCTGAAACAAGGTTGTTTGGTTTGAATTGAATAGGGCCTGAGACCTGCCTCCCATCCGGACACCTATTCCTTCAACAAATATTTATTGGGATCTATTCATTTATTGAACAACTCACTCTTGTTGCCCAGGCTGGAGTGCCATGGCGTGGTGTTGGCTGACTGCAAACTCTGCCTCCCAAATTCAAACAATTCTCCTGCCTCAGCCTCCCAAGTAGCTGGGATTACAGGCACCCTCCACCACGCCTGGCTAATTTTTGTATTTTTAGTATTTTCACCATGTTGGCCAGACTGGTCTCAAACTCCTGACCTCAGGTGATCCGCCCTCCTCAGCCTCCCAAAGTCCTGGAATTACAGGTGTGAGCCACCTCATCCAGCCACTGGTAAGTAATTGATGCTCGATAAATATTGAATGGACAAATGAATGAAAGGGAAATGATCCTAGGCTTCACGAAGCTTACTTTTCTTTTTTTTTTTTTTTTTTTTTTTTTTGATTTTGGGTTTTGGCTTTTTCTCCAGGCTAGAGTGTTAGAGTGTAGTGGCACGATCTTGGTTAACTGCCTCCACCTCCTGGGTTCAAGCGATTCTCCTGCCTCAGCCTCCCGAGTAGCTGGGACTACAGGCACACACCACCACGCCTGACCAATCTTTGTATTTTTAGTAGAGATGGGGTTTCACCATGTTGGTCAGGCTAGTCTCGAACTCCTCACCTCAGGTGATCCACCTGCCTCGGCCTCCCAAAGTGCTGGGATTACAGGCATGAGCCACCGCACCCAGTCTCTAGCATGTAATTCATGCTCAATAAACACTGAATGGATGAATGAATGAAAGGGAAATGTTCCTAGCCTTCATGAAGCTTACATTCTAGCGGGAAAGCTCAACAGCAAACATGTACATAAATATATCATTACCATCTAAGATATGCCCACTAAAGGAAATGAGGGAGCATAATGATAAGCTGGGGAAGGGGCATCTCCTTTAGATAAGGTGGTCCAAGAGGGCTTTGCTGAAGAAGTGTCATGGTGACATCTGAACTGAGACCAGAAGCATGAAAAGAAGCCAACCTCATGCAAATCAGTGGGGAGGAACACCGCAGTCAGAGGGGACAGCCTGTGCAAAGGAGGGGCTGGTGGGTACAAGCAGCTACAAGGACGCCAGGGCAGCTGGCATGGAGTGAGCCGGGGGCAGAAGGACACCAGATATAGCTGGACAAGTTGGCAGGGTCTGTAGAACTCTTGAACCTGAGAGGCAGAGATTGCAGTGAGCCAAGATCACGCCACTGTGCTCTAGCCTGGGCAACAGAGTGAGACTCCATCTCAAAAAAAAAAAAAATAGTAATAAGTTCTGATCTCTGGGTTTTTCTTTTTTTATAGCCCCAACCAGTTGCATAGAGAATAAACTGCTGAAGTACGGAAAGTCATGGGCAGATGGGTCTGACCACTGGGCAGTTGAGCATATGAGTTTAAGGAGTATGTAGGCCCTCCCTGTGCCCTGCCTCCACTCCCAGCTGGCTTCACGCTGAGACTGGCACACCTTGAAGCTGCCCTGGGGCTGGAGGAGGTAGAGCTGAGCTGAGAGTTCCTGGGCTCTTAGTCTCCTCTCTTGTGAGGACTGATGAGCTCCACGCTGAGTTGGGAAAGGGACCAAAAGACACAGAGCAGGCAAGAATTAGACACAGAGAATTAAACAGGGAGAGGGAGACAGAAGCAAGAATAAACCAATGGGAAATCTTAGAGAAGAAACTAAGGTAGATGCTGGAGCAGAGAGGAGTCAGCGAGGCCCACCCAGAAAAGGAAACTCAAGGAGAGAAAACCAGTGAACAGAAGAAGCAACCAAGGGTGCTGTTTGCAGAGGGCTCTTGCAGGAGCCTCATAACAGGAGTTTTACCATTGATCCCATCTTACAGGTGTGGAAACTGAGGTTCAGAGAGCATAGGACACTTGCCCAAGGTCACACAGCTAGTAAAGGGAGGGTGGTCCCCAGACTTGCATCCAGATCTGACTGATTCCACATTCCTTTGCTCTTCATGCATGGGAAGACGGCAGAGACTAGAATGGAGGGTGAAAGAGAACACAAGCAACAGGTGGACAGATGAGAAGAGGACATTCTGCTTTACTTTAAAAAGACCACAAACTTCGATAATCCTTGAGAGAAGAAGGAAAAAGGAAAGTCCTGGCCTGGAGTGACCTGCCCAAATCTACGGAAAAGGAGATGGCACCACAGACAGTTCCAGGCCATGAGGAAATTCAATTACCTGCAACTCATGGAATATTTATGACACCTACACTGTGCCAGGCCCATATTGGGTGCTGCTGTCATGGAGATAAATCAAACATGGCTCCACTCTTGCCTGGAGGGGGAATAAATAAGAGACGATGTACTAAAGGCCATAACACAGGTCCAGGGAAAATACAAAGGTAGCAGCAGATGACCTAGGGAGTTGTGAAACATCAAAGAAGTGACATCTGAACCTGGAGTTTCCAAGGCAGGGAAGAGCATTTTGGGCTTCCTGAATGGGCTTCCCAAAAATTCAGAGGGGCCAATTTGGTGAAGAAGAGAATGTCGACATCTCAATGTTACCTAGGGAGTCTTACAACAGAGGGTTATGTTGTACTTCCCACTCAAGTAGGCCTATGTGTCGCTGGGGAAAAGTGTAAGCAGGACTGGTCATCATGTGTGTGCTCGCACATAAATGTGGGGCCAAGCCTTTCCCCCACCATGGGACACCAACTTTATCTAATAATAAAAACAAGTACAAACATTTATTGAGCACATACTATGAGCCAGACCCCAGTCTGAGGGTTTTACGTGTGATATTTCTCATTTAATCACAATAACCCCCTGATAATATTTATCAGATGCTTCCTTGTGCCAAGCATTGTACTAAATGCTTCAAGTGAATAATATCTCACTTGACCCTCATGACAATCTTGAAACACATAACTGGCATTCCTCCCATTTTAAGAATAAGGAGATGAAGACACAGAGAGGCCTGGTGACTTGTCCGAAATCAAACAGCTGGAAAATGGCAGAGGTAGGACACAAAGCCAGGTTTGCTCGAGTCTAGCCCAAGTCAAAGCTCACTTTGCTGTGCTCTCTTCCCCAGGGGAAAGACTCTGAGATGGCAAGCTTCAAGTCAATAAAATCCAGAGAAAGGAACTATTCCTTATCCTTCAAAGCCCTGGCTCAGTATCTTAAAACCTGTTTCCTGGGACACCTGCATCAGAATATTCTTGGGAGCTTGTAAGGATGTAGATTCCTGGAACCCCCATCGGCAAGATTCTAATTCAGTAGGTCTAAGATGGGACCTCAGATTATTTTTATGCACACAGAGACTTTGAATCACAGGGCTGGCTCCAACAGCACCTCCTCCAAGAGCCCTGCTCCCACCCCTATCCCAGAGCACCTCTCTTCAGACTACACGAGCCAGAGCTCATCTGGGGTTTTAGTAATGTTCACGTCTTCCCTACATCAAATAGAAGACCAGATTCTTCATGGGGCTACACCTTTTTACAAGCATTTCCAGTGATTCACTTAATCCCTTTCTACACTGTGAGCATTTGGTGGGGGGGACCTTCTTGTCATTCCTGCCTTATATCTGAACATGGTGTTTTTTTCAATGCATTCTCCCGCCCACAATAACATTCCTCTATTATTTGATCAATCCTCACAACAATCTAGAAGGAGGCATATTATCCCCATTTACCGATGAGAAAACAAATTCAGAGTTTCACTTGCCCAAGGCAGCCAAGCTAAGAAGTGGCAAGGCTAGGATTTGAACCTAAGTTTTCTAACTCCAAGCCCCGTACTCCTGCCTCTATAGCAATTTTCGTGTGCTCTCCTCAGCGTAGGGAAGTAAGCTTTGCCTCCCTATGCCGTTACATGGTAGTGGAGATTAAGTGAGATAATACCTTAAAGAGCCTGTCTCCGTGAGCACTCAATAAATTATGTGAAGGGTAAATTAAGGCCAGGAGAGTAAATGATTTCCTCCCAATCAAACACCAAACTGCAGGCTGTAGACACAGCTTTGGACCTGCCCCAGACTCTTCCTGTTGAGAGAGCCGCTTTGGCGGCCTCGCAAACCCCGCACCTCCCTCTGGTCCCTCCGGGACCCACAAACAGTTTAGTCAGGCGCCACCACGTGGGCAGCGGAGGAAGGAAACGCCCTTCACAAGGAGCGTGGGGGCGTGGTCACGCGGCGGGGCGGGGCGCAGGCTTGTGGTCGCTGGAAGATGACGTAGCCGGGGGCGTCAGGCTCTGTGTTGGTAGGAGGGAGCATGTGGGTCTGCGGCACGCTGTGGTGGGTGCGAACCCCCGGCCGGCTGTGGCGGAGGCTGCTCCCTGCTTCTGGCTGTCACGGACCTGCCGCCTCCTACTACTCTGCATCCGCCGCGCCTGCCCGGGTCCCGGCGCTTGTCTATGGGCACCACGGGGATCCAGCCAAGGTCGTCGAGTAAGAGACGGCGCCGAAACCGGGGAAGGGGACTGGGGTTTCTAGATGGCTTTAAGACGATGTGGACTGGGAAGAGAGGGACAGGGTCCGAGGAACGGGGCAGAGACTAGCAAGACTGAAACTGAAGCCCAGGGCGCTTTGGGTAGCTCAGAAAGACCGTACTTGAAGGTAGTTGAAGACCGAGAGGCACAATTATTAGGATATTAATGGCTGATGTTTATTGATCGGCTATTGTGTCAGGCAATCCCATGTTTAAATGGATGCTGTCATTTAATTGTCACAACAATGTTTTAAGGTAGTTACTTGATTTATCCCCGTTTTGCAGATGAGAAAACAGGCATAGGAGGTAAAAGCACTCGTCCAAGGTCACACAGCCAGTAAGCGACAGTCTGAATTTAAACCTATGTCTGACTGACTGACCTGCCTGAGCTCTTACTCTCTTATTTTTTTTAAGGAATTTTTCAGAATACTTTTGCATTCATTTGGATCTTCACTTGTCAGTAAAGAGTAGGTCATAGATCATTGTTTCCAGAGGGCAAAGGACTTGCCCAGAGTGATATCGCCAATAAGTGATTGGAACAGAGACTGGAATCCATGGCTTCTGATTCCAACCTCATGCGAGTTCCTCTCCATTGCACCGTATATGCATGCATCTTGGCTTAGTTAAAAAGAGCTGCTTTGGTGCCATATAGACCCCAAGTATCTATATTTGGTCAAATATAGGCGCAACCTCTTAGTAGCTGTTTGGTCTTAGAGAAGTCACTCAACCTCTTGTTACTTTTATGACTTTGTCCTCCTAAAATTCTGTTTGATCTTAATTCATGCTTTTTGCATGTGGTTGATAAAAACAGCATGTTAGTTGCCAACCATTATAAATTTGCACATAAATAGTCATTCAGTAGGGCCATCGGGCGCTAAAGTGGAGCTAAGGCAAAAGCACAGGTCTGGGAATCAAAATACTTAGGGTCAAATCCTTGCCCTAACTTGTCCTAGGGCTAGGGCTTTGCATCTGGCAAGTTACTGAGGTTCTCTGAGCCTCCGTTTCATCATCTTCGAAAATGGAGACAGTACAGACAAAGTTCATAGTGATAATCAGCTAAGATCGGTGTAGTGCTCTCCACCAAAAAACACCTGCAGACTCTCGTACAGTACCTTCTTTTTAACTCTGTGATTCCCAGCAACTAGTTTGATTATTTTCCAAAGGGTAAGCAAATGTGGTATTACTTTAATGGTTAAAATTCAGTCTACGGCTGGGCACAGTGGCTCATGCCTGTAATCCCAGCACTTTGGGAGGCCGAGGCGGGTGGATAACCTCAGGTCACGAGTTCTAGACCAGCCTGGCCAATGTTGGGAAACCATGTCTCTACTAAAAATACCAAAAAAAATTAGCCAGCCTGGTGGTGGGCGCCTGTAATTCTAGCTACTCAGGAGGCTGAGGCAGGAGAATCACTTGAATCCGGAACACGGAGGTTGCAGTGAGCCGAGATCATGCCACTGCACTCTAGCCTGGGCTACAGAGCAAGACTCTATCTCAAAAAAAAAAAAAAAAAAAAAATTCAGTCTAGATGTTTTGACAGGTGGTGAGGATAAGCCTCAGATAAATTCAAGGTCATGCAGTCAGCCCAGCCACATCCAGCATTACAGAAATTGAAAAGAATGTCGAGAAGACACATCAGTCAGTGAACTCCAAATTGTGTGTTGATTGTAGGTAATAAAGCATTGTGTCAGGGAAGAATCTCACTGAGGACTGTATTGTAAGGAACTGGTACAGCTCTGATGAACACTCCTCCATTTCCAGGAAGGTACCCCACGTGAGAACCATGTAGTGCCTCTCCCACGGACTTGTAGTTTGCGTTTGCTGCAGGACCTGACACAAAACAGGTGCTTCTAAAATGGTAGTTCAATCTAAATCTAAATGTCAGAGAAAAGTGCACCTTTTATTAAGTTCTACTGTGATGATGAGGGAGGGCTGGGAATGTTCAGCAGCTGACTGCAGTTGCCTCCTAACTGATTCCCTCCTCTCTGAGAGCCAGAGAAAGCTGGAACAGCCTGGTCTGTTTGCAGGTGCCACTTAGGAAAAAAAAAAAAAAAAAAAAAAAAAAACAGCTTCTATTATTTCCTTCTGTGGAACTTCAGTAATTTCCCTCTAGCTCAAAACAAGATACTTCCCGCCGGGCATGGTGGCTCACACCTGTAATCCCAGCACTATGGAAGGCCTATGTGGGCAAATCATGGCAAAACCCTGTCTCTACTAAAAATACAAAAATTAACCGGACATGGTGGTACACGCCTATAGTCCCAGCTACTCAGGAGGCTGAGACAGGAGAATTGCTTGAACCAGGAGGCGGAGGTTGCAGTGAGCCAAGATCATGCCATTGAACTCCAGCCTGGATGACAGAACAAGACTTCCTCTCAAAAAAAAAAAAAGATACTTCCACAAAGCATTATATTCAACTCTGGCTTCATAGCACACCATCTGTAGTGCTTTTATTTATTTGTTTTTTAATTTGCCAACATGGACTATCAGACAGCTTTTATTTATTTATTTAGAGATGAGATCATGCCATGTTGCCCAGGCTGGTCTTGAGCTCCTGGGCTCAAGGGATCCTCCCGCCTCGGCCTCCTGAGTAGCTGGGATTGCAGGTGTGTACCGCCACACCTAGCTTGACCTATAGTGCTTTTAGAAACTACTGTACATATTCCTAGGCCCCACTCCTGAGGTATTTAGTAGGTCTGGGATGGCTTGAAGCATCTGTTTTTTTTATAGCTCTCCAGGTGACTGTGCTGCCCAAGCCAGGCTTGAGAACTACTGCCCTGTGGATACAGACTGTCAGACAAGCAGTAATTCTCCACGTGCTCCAGAAGGGCGACTTTTCTTTCTGACCCAGATTCAGGTGGCTTTACTTGTTCTCATATGGACTGAAGCCAGAGACTGGGATTCTCTTTGTAGTCATGTCTTACGAGGTTTAGGGTAACCACACTGTCACGGAAAGAATCAGGTGTCCTTTATACATCCTGGTAACTGGGTGTCTGGGTCAGGTTACACGAGGTAGGGGTCATGGGACTACCTAGAGTCTGAGCAGAGCATTCTCAGAACTGGTGTGGTTTGTAATGATTGCGCTGTGGGCCAAACCTCTGTGAGCAGGAGGGAGGGAGCAAGGGACAGCCTGCTCAGGTCTGAAGGCTGCGAACTCCTCAAAAGGAGGCATCCAGGTTTCTCCTGTTCTCACATCCCTGTGTCCACTCCTGTTGGCCCCTAAATATTGCAGCTGTTCTCTCCTAAGTAATTTTTCCCTGTCCTTTGGTTCCTTTCCCTTTTTTCCAAAATGGGATCCCCTAAATAACATTTGGGCCTTTTTTATTTTGAAGATTGGACTGCAGATCTAAGTAAAGTAAGACTGTGCAGAAGAATGCAAACATTCAAGAAATTTCAGAGTTCTCCATTGCCACTGTCCCTTGCTAGATTCCCTATCAGATAAGTTCCCAGAAACCCAGGGGCCAGGCACGATGGCCCCCTGTAATCCCAGCACTTTGAGAGGCCAAGGCAGGCGGATCACCTGAGGTCAGGAATTGGAGACCAGCCTGGCAAACATGGCAAAACCCGTTTCTACTAAAAACACAAAAATTAGCCAGACGTGGTGGCAGGTGCCTGTAATCCCAGCTACTCGGAAAACTGAGTCAGGAGAATCACTTGAACCTGGGAGGAAGAGGTTGCAGTGAGCCAGATTGCACCACTGCACTCCAGCCTGGGCAACAAAGTGAGACTCAATCTCAAAAAAAAGATAGTCCCCAGAAACCCTTAGTTCTTCTCTCGCCTTCTTTTTTTCCTGAACGTTCCCTTAGAACTTTGCCATTCTCTGGATCTTCTGGTGAGAACAGCTTTCATTTATTGTATACCTGCTGTATAGCAAGCATTGGGCTAATTGCTCCTAATATATGTAGATGTAGGCCTGAGGAAACAATGGTGGTCACCTCGAATGACTTTTCTTTTTTCTGGCTGATCACCCCAAGAAAATGACTTTTTTTAAAATAAACTTTTAAAAATATTTTAAATAAAAAATAGAGATGAGGTTTTACCATGTTGCCCAAAATGATCTCAAACCCCTGAGCTCAAGTGATCCTCTTGCCTCAACCTCCCAAAGTCTCAAATGAATTTTGAGAATGAGATGGACTATAAAGTTGGAAAAAAGACAGGTTAGAAGAGAAGGTGAAATTATAGGTCGTTCAGGCAATCCAACTTTCTATGCATAGAAAGGGCCGCCCCAACCCTGGGAAAAATTAGAAATGCTATTCTCTCTCTCCTCCCCTTTTCAGGATCCTGAGGCTTTTGTAAACCAGCATCCTGATCATCTTGGCTTTCTCAACTGCCTGCTGCTAGTGCAAAAATGAAATGAAACTAAGCTGGAAAACGCGTGGACGTAGACCCATTCTGTCTTTTTTCTTTTTTTTTTTTTTTTGAGAGTGCAGTGGCATAATCTTGGCTCACTGCAACCTCTGCTTCCCAGGTTCAAGTGATTCTCCTGCCTCAGCCTCCTGAGTAGCTGGGATTACAGGCATGTGCCACCATGCCCAGCTAATTTTTGTATTTTTAGTAGACAAGGGGTTTTACTATGTTGGCCAGGCTGGTCTTGAACTCCTGACCTCAGGCGATCTGCCCACCTTGGCCTCTCAAAGTGCTGGGATTACATGTGTGAGCCCCTGCACCTGGCCTACCCATTCTGTCTTAAGCCAGATGGACTTTGGAGGGGCAGGTGGTGGGGACCCAGGCTGTGATTCTCACTATAGGGCACTGTTTACTCTCAGGAATTTCTTCTTCTTACGGTTGATATAAAGCAAAACTCTACAGGTGACTTGATTTTTAAACCCAAATTTTAGTGCTTTGGGAAAAAAATAGCATTTTGGGTTTGGTGCTCCGTTTAGAGCTCTTTCTTGTGGTCATGAATGGAGTGGGAACAGAAGACACTGATACTATAAGTTGGCTAGCATGTATTCTCTGAGGGTTTACTGAGTGCAAGGCACTGAGGGTACAGAGACGAATCTGATGTGATTGTTGCCCTCAGAGCCTCACAGCCTAGTAGGGTAAATGCTGTGATGGGTTATGTTCAGAGTACTGTGGACACCCAGAAGAGGGGTACCTAACCCCCTCGGGGTAGTCAGAGACTGCTCTCTGTAGACACGGTGTAAAGTGAGTGCCCCAGAGATCCAGTGAGCAGTATATGAGGGGAGAAAGTGGAGAAATGTCCCAAGCAGAGGAACCTGCCTGTGCAGAGACCCAGAGAGAAGAGGAAACATGGTGTGTCTGGTCAGTCCATGTTTGTTGACTGCCTACTGTGCACTCATGTGTAATCCTGTGAGAAAGATGTCTGCTGAAACCAACTCAGAGGGGACTGCCCTGAGACCACAGGGCTCAAGCCTAAGCAGATTCCACATCCTACAACTCGTACAGTACCTTCCATCTGGCCTTCAGACTAGGCTGTGCAGTTTAGGGCCAAGCCCTGCTACCCTGGTTTTCTCGTTGTCACCTCTGAAGGTAAAAGCTGCAGGCACATCCCCTAAGAATTGCACAAAAAACTGGGGTTTTCCCTCTGTCCAGAGAGTCTGGAAGGAAAGCTACCCCTCGGTGCCACTCCAAGCTGTGTCTTGCCCTCTCCTAGCGGCTCTGTGGGATGAACTGACCTTTCTCACCCTGGATGCGGAGAGAGGGGTCCTCATTTTAGAGAAGGAAAGCAAAGATGACACAAGCTGAACCTGTGGCTCAGGATGTTTCTTGCCTGTGTTCCAGTCCCACCTCTGCCACTGATTACGGCAGTGAGGAAATCACATTGCTCTCCAGCTATCTTCAGCTACTCTTTGATAAAATGAAGGTCGGCAGTGGTAGATATGGACATGGATGCTGTCCCCCTCCCCTATGCCACATGCAGACCTTCACAGTCCCTTTCCATAGACCTCAAAACCTACACTCCTCTCTATCCCATTCGCCCAGACAACACTGCCTGCCAAGACAAGATGGAGCCTCAGCGTCCTTCTTAGCATAACATTGCAGCCACAGTAATTATCACGAGACATGAATCCTCTTTGTTCCAGCAGTTGTCCGGCTCTGACAATTCTATGAAAGTGACACAGACATCAATGGCCTGCTTGCCAATGGTTGCTCCAGCAGCCTCCGGGGAGCAATGGTTTGGCTTGAAATCTGGGATCGTTGATTTCACCAAGGACCCCCTTGGCCCTTGGTTGGTTACACAATCAATAGCCCTCCCAGCCCCCAGCCAGACAAGAGCTGCACAGTTGTGTTTTCACCCATCAAAGAGATCCAAGCAGCTGCAGGCAGGGACTATGCCCCCAAGAGCTGGCCGTCAGCAAGTTGAGTGACAGACTGTGCTTGTAGTGGAGTTTCCCTGGCGTCAGCAGATGTAGAGTATCATGGGGCCCGCAAACTTTCTGGTTCTCTTATTTGAGGGAAAGTAGGGAATTGAGAAGGTTGGGAGAAGTTTTCTTTGCCAACTGGATAGAAACTTCCAGAAGTTACCCTAAGCCTCTGATTCCTTCAGTTCAAAATGAGTGTGCTAAAGAGCCAAAAGATGAGCCCTGAATGGTGGGAGTCCTGGAAGCCGGAAGAGACGCAGGGAGGGTGTGGTTGTGTCCAGCACACCAAGCCACCTGGAACCAAGGAGCTTTGCTCAGGGAAAGGAACTCTCCCTGGGAGCCAGGCCCTTACAAGCTGTAAGCTGAGGAACTTCATTGCCTCACAATTTCCCAGTTGTAGCCTGCTTATTAATTATTAGTCAAATCCTAGAACGGTGTACCTAACACACCAGGCATTTCACTGAATCACAGAAGGCAGCTTGTTGGTGACCAGGGGACTGCAGACAGACTGGGAGAACCACATGAGGTATCAGTTACCTTCACTCAGTGCCCTGTGATGACACAAACATTCTTGCTTCTGTGCTAAGCAGCTGAGAAAGTCTCTGGCCAGCGACAATCTCTCCCTACCTGTTCTTCCTGCTCAAAATGATATTGACCGTTTGATGTACTTGAGTAGAAGATGAAAGATAAGTACAAATGATTGCTAATTAAATGTGGGGCGCAGGAAAGATATCTTGGCAGAGCTAGCTAATGCCCACCTTACACAGCAAGTATAACTGTGCCAGTCCCCAGGGTACTGGCCTCTTTTCCCCCCTCTCAAAAGGCTCTTTCTTCTGCCTGCTTTTGTCTCCCTTGCACTTCCTATGGCATCACAGGTGTACAGCCTTGGCCTCAAAGGAGCCATTGTGACCTTATCCAGGCTGGGATCTGTCCATTGAGGGCAGCGGCATCCCCCCGAGTTGCATGGCGCCATTACACTCACAGAGGGAGGATGTGAACGGTATGGGGGAAGCAATTTGAGATCTAGCCAGGCTGGGTTGGGTGCCTCATTTGTACTCTGAAACATGGCCACTGTTTCCTTTGGTGAGGTCTTTTTCTTTTAAAGAACAGGGAAGAAATTGCTATCATTACACTAGAGGTTTAACTCTTGGAATTCAGGCTTGGTCCCTGTTTTCCCTCATGTCTCAGCAGAATGGTATCCTTGACGACGTGGTTAGCACTGTCTGCGGGAACAGCAGTGTCTGTGGTATTGATGGCGTTCCCCGGAGCAGGACAAGGCTGGCCTCCCTGATGAGAGGCACCTGAACCCCCACCTCCACCCCCAGGCTTGCAGCAGGCGTGGGGCCTGCCCCGGCCCCCATCTACCTGTGTTCGCAGCTTCAACATAACTTCCCGTCGCCTAGACCCTCATCCCTGCTTGGCCCTCTTTACTCTCCTTCCCTCCCTCTTCTGTGAATCTCAAATGCAGAGCTGATATTTTTCTTCTTCCCAGAAGACAAAGAAGAGAACGGGGGCCCAGAGCATCGTTTCTCAAACTGCTGTTTGAGGTAGGCTGTGCTGTGAAACTACTGCAGTGCTCCCAGCCCGCATTCAATCTGGAAAGCTCTGGATGGCACAAGCTACATGGGTTTCTTTACTCAGGGACTTCTCAGAGCCTTTTGAGTAACATGTAGTCAGACTCTTGAAAGAGGGGCGTAGTAGGCAGCATTTCCTAAACGTACTGGATCCCAGGAAATACCTAACAGTATCTCCAAGAAAAAAATCAGTACACACAGTGTAGTGAATGCTGGCAGAGGATTGAACAGCCTGCATTTTGGAGTCTAGCTTAAGATCAAGACCTGCCTCTTATGCTTGAGCCAGTTATTTCTCTAAGCCTCAGTTTCCTCTCCTTCAAATTGGGGTGATACCACCCTCCACATAGGCATTTTGAGAACTGAACGGCATCGTGTATATAAAATGGTGAGCATACTGGGAGCACAGTGAGCCATTGACATAAGTTGTCATTTCATTGTTTAGTGTAATCGCCCAGAATAAGTTTTTCGACTCTCCTAGACTCCGCCCATCCAGCCAACTCACAATTCTGTTTGTCTAGCCTAAGCGCTCTCTGCTCTGTATGCATACTGCAGGTCACCTGTGTCCCCTCTCCAAATCTACTCTTCCTTCCTCCCTAGCTCAGCATTCAGTTGTCCAAGCCAAAGGCCTTGGAGCCATCAAAGACTTCCCTTCCCTCTCACCACATGGAATTGGTCACCAAGTGACATCAGTGTCGCTTATTTAAGAGATTTTATGTTATCCAGTCCTCTCCATTCTCATGGCTCTTACACAGACCACACCTGTTGCCTGGCCTACTCTTGGGTCAGATTCTTTGTCATTCCCTCCGGCCAGAAAACCTTTTGTCTTTTCTCATTCCACCCTGTAAATGCCTGTTTATCCTTCAAACCAAACCACGGTATTTCTTCCAAGGACCCTTTTCTAATCTATTTTCTTCCTCCCACCAGGCTAGACACTGGTAGCCAACTTTAGCACCACGAGCCTCCCTCTGTTATAGCCCTTCTCCCAGTGTTTCCACAGATGGGTTCCTAGTCCATCAAGGCCCTGGGAAGGGGATTTATGTTTTTCCCTGAGCCAGGGTCTCCTGTTGCCCAGGCTAGAGCGCAGTGGTCATTCACAGGTGTGCTGATGGTACACTGTAGCCTTGAACTGCTGAGTACAAGCAACCTTTTTTCCTCCGCCTCCCAAGTAGCTGCAACTGCACGTGCATGCTACCATGCCTGCCTTTATTCATCGTGAAACCCCTTGGCACGGTATCTCACACTTCGACTGTCAATAAATATTTGTTGAATTACGTTTGCTTGAATTTTCCAAAAAGGTGCTGTCTTCCTTTTAGTGACTCAGTGACTCTTCTCAGAGATATAACCAGGGAACTATTTCAAAGGTTTCCTTGGATATTGCTACAACTGATAACTGCTGTCATTTTCTCAGCGTCTACTGTATAGGTACTACCATAAATGCTCTACATACATTAACTCATTGAATCCTATGAACTGGGTTCTTGTGTTATCCCATTTTACAGAGGAATATTCTGAGGTTTATCAAGCTGATAAATAACCAAGGTATGATTCAAACCCAGGGCTGCCTGCTTCACTCCAGATTCGTGCTCTACCCATCATTTACGAACTGAGATCTACCTGTACTCTCATCTTGACCACAGTCATCTAGGTTTTTAAGAAGTGCAGTGCCGATGCACATTTGATGTGTATGCCTAGACTGAATTCTCTTAACAATAATCTCCATTTTTATTTGAGCCCATCTTTCATGGGTATTTTCCTAAATAGCCTAGAACCAGGAACAGCAAGTACAAATAGCTAAGTCCCTTTGACTTGGGCCCTGCCCCTGATTTCCTAAATGACTGGCACTTTTTTTTTTCCCCGCCCAGGCTGGAGCATAGTGGCATGATCTCAGCTTACCGCAACCTCTACCTTTTGGGTTCAAGCAATTCTCCTGCCTCAGCCTCCCAAGTAGCTGGGACTACAGGTGCACACCACCACGCCCAGCTGATTTTTGTATTTTTTTTAATAGAGACAGGGTTTCACCATGTTGGCCAGGCTGTTTTTTAACTCCTGACCTCAGGTGATCCACATGCCTTGGCCTCCCAAAGTGCTGGGATTACAGGCGTGAGCCACCATGCCCAGTCATGACTGGCACTTATTCCACATTTTCTCACTAGAGAGAAGAGTTTGATCCCAGATATGTGCTCAACAGTGAATTAAGACTAATTAATGAGTGAGTGCCCTCCAGGGACTCACAGTCTAACAAGGAGACAGCGCATACCCACACATTCTGACTACAAAACTAAGTGATTTGTAAAAACAGCTCCAAACTCAGAGTCTGAAAGACCTGAATCCAAATCCATATTTGTATCTGCAGTTCCAAAATCCTGAAAGCTCTGGAAGCTGACAGTTTTTTGTTTTGTTTTGTTTTGTTTTTTGAGACAGAGTCTTGCGCTGTCACCAGGCTGGAGTGCATGGCGCGATCTCGGCTCACTGCAATCTCTACCTCCCAGGTTCAAGCGATTCTCCTGCCTCAGCTTCCCGAGTAGCTGGAATTACAGGCATGCACCACCACACCCAGCTAAGTTTTGTATTTTTAGTAGAGATGGGGTTTCACTATGTTGGCCAGGATGGTCTCGATCTTGACCTTGCGATCCACCCGACTCGGTCTCCCAAAGTGCTGGGATTACATGCATGAGCCACCGCGCCCGGCCAGTTTTTTTCTATAACTCATGTGAATGAAACCTGATCTAACATGAGGTTTTCATGTGGTCTTTATTCATCTCACTTAGCATGAGTATTCCTACATTTTCCTGCAGAAACATTCGTGTGTTTGATTCCAGGGTGCTGCAACAGCCCCCACTGGGACTGCAGATAATACATGACTCCAAGAGTTTTGAAAAGGGTGTGAGCCGGGTGCGGTGGCTCACGCCTATAATCCCAGGGAGCCGAGGGATTTGGGAGACCGAGGCGGGTGGATCACGAGGTCAAGAGATCGAGACCATCCTGGTCAACGTGGTGAAACCCCGTCTCTACTAAAAATACAAAAAATTAGCTGGGCATGGTGGC